ATAGATGATATGCTCGTAAAATCTCTTAAGAAATCCGAGCACATCACACATCTTGAGCAATGTTTCAAAATTCTGAATGAATTTGGAATGAAATTAAATCCTGCTAAATGTTCTTTTGGTGTGCCTTCCGGAGAAATTCCTAGGTTACATAGTCACGGAAAGAGGAATAGAAGCAAATCCTAATCAGATTAACGCTTTCCTCACAATGCCATCACCAAAAAACATTAAAGAGGTCCAGCGATTGACGGGCATAATTGCCGCGTTGAATCGTTTCATCTCGAAATCCACCGATAAATGTCTCCCTTTTTATCAGATTTTAAAAGGGAACAAAAAGTTTCGGTGGAATGATCAATGCGAAGAAGCTTTTGATCAACTCAAAACTTATTTGACAACACCACCGGTTCTCTCAAAACCTGAATCAGATGAGAAATTTTATCTTTATGTCTCGGTTTCTAATCATTCTGTAAGTGGGGTTTTAGCTCGAGAGGATCGAGGTGATCAGAAGCCGATTTTCTACATAAGTAAATCTCTTACCAGTCCGGAAACGAGATATACCATGATGGAAAAGTTAGCTTTAGCAATAGTGATATCTGCTAGAAAGCTCAGACCTTATTTCCAATCTCATCCGATAGAAGTTTTTACTTCTCATCCGCTTCGCTTAATTCTTCACGGACCAAGTCAGTTCGCTAGATTGGCGAAATGGGCAATCGAACTCAGTGAGTACGATATAGAATACAAAAGTCGAACTAGCGCAAAGGCACAAGTTCTGGCTGATTTTCTGACCGAACTGCCACCGGATGATGGAATCCTTATTGAAACAAACTCTACATGGAAATTACATGTAGATGGCTCTTCTTCTAAACAAGGATCCGGAATCGGTATTAGGCTCGAAACTCCGACAAAGGAAATAATTGAACAGTCATTTCGATTAATGTTTCTGGCTTCGAACAATGAAGCAGAATACGAAGCTCTCTTAGCAGGACTTCGGCTTGCTCTTGCAATTGGGGCAGAAAATATAATACCTTATTGTGATTCTCAGCTAGTTTGTGAACCAGTTCGCTGGAGATTACGAAGCTAAGGATCCTCGAATGGAAGCCTATCTTTCGGCTGTCAAAAAATTAGCCGGAAAATTCAAAGAGTTCGAATTAGTTCGAATACCGAGGAGAAAACACATCGGCAGACGCTTTAGCTGCCCTAGCCTCTACCTCAGATCCCGAGCTCAAACGAGTTATCCCAGTTGAATGTATTTTTTCGCGAAGTATTTCGGTTGAAGAAACAGAAAACAATAACATTTTGGAGGCCGAGCATATCGAAACTCCAAAATTAAGTTCCGGAAATGAAAATAGTTTGTTTGTCGTCACCAGATCACGAGTAAAATCTCAAGATGATGAACTTACTTCACCACTGGAACTTCCTAAAAGAAAGCCAAGAAGAAAGTTGAAGGATCAAGAGGTTCCCGCTAAAGAACCGTCTCGAACTGAACAGATACCTACGGGTGATGAAGAAGTTCGGGGAACAATCGAAGATCCTGATATTCCTTCTGAACCCGAACCAAGGAAGTTTATATTCAAGGATAATACTTCCGCTAATGATTGGGGGGCTGACTGGAGGGTACCCATCAAAAATTTCATTCTTAGTGGAGAACTACCATCGAACAAATGGCAAGCTCGCAAATTAAAAATCATCAGCGCTAAGTATTGTATAATTAAAGAGTCGTTGTACAAGCGAGGCGTCAGTGATCCTTATCTTTTATGTATTTTCGGATCCGAGGTTGAAATAGTGACAAGCGAGGTCCACGAAGGGCTTTCTGGCCAACTATGATTTCTGACTGCATTGATTACGCCAAAAGGTGTAAAAAGTGTTAGATGCACGCTCCTCTTATTCACCAGCCATCTGAAATTTTGTCATCTATATCCGCTCCATACCCTTTCATGAGGTGGTCAATGGATATAGTTGGTCCTATGCATCGCTCAACGCGAGGCGTCCAATACTTATTAGTTCTAACGGACTATTTTTCCAAATGGATCGAAGCAGAAGCCTACGTAAATATACAAGATTCTGTGGTAAAAACATTCTTGTGGAAACACATTATTTGTCGTCATGGAGTTCCTTACGAGATCGTAACGGATAATTGTCCTCAATTCATTTCGAATGATTTCAAAGATTTTTGTTCCGCTTGGGGAATAAAACTTAGCTATTCAATGCCAAGGTATCCTCAAGGAAATGGGCAAGCGGAAGCTTCCAATAAAACCATTCTCAGCAATCTTAAAAAGCGTTTGAATGCTCGGAAAGGTGGTTGGTATGACGAGCTGCAACCTGTGTCGTGGGCATATCGAAGAACCCCGAGACGAGCAACGGGAGAAACTCCATTCTCATTAGTATATGGGATGGAAGCTGTAGTCCCAGCCGAGCTAAATGTTCCTGGTTTACGCCGGAGCGAAGCTCCTCTTAACGAAGAACTAAATTCTAAATTATTAGAAGACGTTCTTGATACAATCGATGAAAGGCGAGATCAATCCCTTATTCGACTTCAAAACTATCAGCAATTGACCGCTCGGTACTATAACTCAAAGTTGAAAAACAGACCTTTAAATGTCGGAGACTTTGTTTTAAGACGAATGTTCGATAACACAAAAGAAGAAGGAGCTGGAAAAATCGGTATTAACTAGGAAGGCCCTTATCAAATCAAAGAAAAAAATCTGAAATGGTGTTTACCGTTTACAAGACCTTGACGGAGATCCCGTTCAAAGACCTTGGAACATCATAAACTTGAAAAAGATCTAGTGCTAAAGCAAACACTATCGAACTACGATTTGGCTTGATCCTATTTTGGATACGTAGGCAGCTCGCTAAACACGAGTCCAGCTATAACATAAAAATAAAAATATTATTCCAGTCATGGAGTCTTGTTTTTATAAATTCAATATTCGATCATGAATATAAATACATTGCGAACAATGTATAAATAAATAATTCTAGATAAGCTAGAACCAGATCTAGAAGGGTCTTGGGTTACGGAATAGCTCTACTCCTTGACCTGCGAGGTCAACGATGCTCATAATACAACCTGTCATGTTTCCGTACTCCTGAAGTCCTAGTTCGATCCAATCGGAAGGATGGGCTTCGAGGCGATGAAGCTCGCGAGCAATATCGAGGCGACGCTTCTCTAGTTCCATTATTCTTTTCCTAATCTTTTTTTTCTCATTTTCGAGCTCGTCGTGCCGTGTGACAATCTGAAGAAAATGAAACGCTTCGTTTAGCAAACAACGAAAGGAGTTAGGTTACTAGGTTTAACAATACCTTGTTAATAAATTCCTTAGACTTGACACGATCTTGAGCTGATAATCTCTTAATTAACACATTTGGAACCTGAATGCTGGTTCCCCACCCTAATGGGCAAGACTCTTCTGGTTCGCCGTTGGCTTTCGTTTTTACAAGATCGATGTCTGACGTTTCCGGAAGATCATCGCTTATCTTTTTAATCGAGTCGGAGGGATTCTCTGAGAAATTACCTTCCTCAAACATTTTTGTAGAATTATTGTTGATTAAATTCAATAACGATCTACATCTGCTTTATACTCGAATAATACTCGACCACATTTAAGAGGGTTAATTGACGATATCCCAAATCCGAAATTACTACTTTCGTGGAAAATGTAAATCGAGTTAATCACTAATTATATTCCCTAGATATAACGCATTGAATAAGATTTGAGTAAATCGGCAAATTTAAAGCAAAAGGGGAATGTAATTAATATTGCTGGGCCACTAGCCCAATAGTATGTTACATAATAATAAAAAAAAAATCAAGGGACTTGTTCGATCAGAAGTCTTCGCCCGATAACGATTCCAGCGAGGTGGACGATCCCGAACAGCTTTCGGAAGAAAGTCCCTCGTCGGAAGATAAATCGAGGGGACCGGAAGAATGATCAGTAGATGTCTCCTCTGGTCCTTCATTTTCTTCAGTTCTTAACATCGAAAATCTCCAAAATTCTGAAGAACATGAAACAAAAGAGGATCCATCGCCGGTTGCCAAGGAAAGATGAAAAAATTTATCCAGCACACGGAAGAATCTTCGGAGGCAAGTAGGAATAATGGCCACGATGTCTAAACCATTCCTCTCCCATTCATGCGGTTCAGATTCTAGGCGAAGGATCTCTCTTTCCATCCTCTTTATGCGCTCATCAAGAGCACGGCGCCTTCTTTCGATTCTTTTTCTCTTGTCACATAAAGCTTTGTGTCTCCCGACGACCTGTTTGAACAAACATTTTGTTAACTGGTCGAAAAAGAGTTTACAGTCTCTTGAAATGACTAAAAATTAGAAAGGGAACCTTTTCCAGGAAGTCATAACACTGGACCCTTTCTTTCCCCGTTCGGAAATGGAAAAACGTGGGGTGAATAACTCCCTTGGGAGAAAATCCATCCTCGGATTCAAATAATGGATCCCCGCTTGAGGTTGTTACTCTTGAGCTGGATCTGAAAGAGGATAGCGGCATAGTTTTGTTTTTCTTACAAAAAATTGCGAGTCTCTCAGAATTCTTTTAAAGAAAAGTGTTCGGACTCTTTAAAGGAATAATATAAAATGGACCTGCTAAAGTAAATTTTGGGTCCAATTAGAACATGGCCCAACACTTTCGGAGCCATTTTTAGGCCATGATCGAAACCATTGCCTGGTCATTCTTATGACAAAATTCTCATGAATTGTAAAAACCTTAACCCTCGATAAAAAGCCTAAGCCGAGCTCTATCCTCGCACCCGAGAGACCGAGGAAAAATACTTGTTAAGATTTTTTCTTTAAAAAGGCAAGTGAGCCTGATCAGCTCATCTCTCACAATTCATAAAACCTCTTTGGTGGCTAGGACTTACAAACCTAGAATCGCATCCAAACGTTTTACTTACAAAAATATATATATATACATAATGGTGTTCAGTCACACTAATCAAAAACAAAACATTTCCGTCAAACGGATTAGTCCTCATGGATACAACAAAACAATTCTTTAAGAGCGTTCCTCTGCCTCAGGAGAACCCTCGTGTGGCCGAGAACCTTCGCCTATCTCGAATTGAGAGGGGGAATCTCCAAATACCAAAAAAAATTGTTTCAGATCGAGAGTAGGACGGGAAGCCGAGGATAGCTCGGATTCAACCATAGCGAGTTCGGCAGCAACTTCGCTCCTCTCGCTCTCGAACAAAACTCTTCCAGTCTCTAGTTCCTTAATCAGGTCTAGATTGCTCTTCAGCTCGGCTAGATCGGTTAGAAGTTTAGTCCAGACCTCTTCTTCCTTGGTGAACTTCGTAACAGATTGAATAAGTTGCCTACCGAATCCCCTCATCTCTTCTCGAGCGTTATGTTCGGCTTCAGCGATATCGCGAGCCCTGTTCCTAGTTAAAAGCTCGATCTCTTGATTCGCTTCTTCGAACAAAGCCGTAGTCTCTTCTAGCTCAGCCTCCAAGCGAAGAGCATTAGACCTCGCAGAATCTCTTTCAGCGTTCGCAATTCTGATGTGTTGCTCGTTAGCTGCTAGAGTTTTCTTCATGTTCTCAAAAGATGACTCGAGTGCTTTTGCCCGCTCAAGTCGCTCAGACTGGTTGACTAATCTAAGTTCATCAACCTCCTTCTTAGCCTTTGCGGTCTCTCTCTTCGCTTGGTGAAGAAGGTTCTCATAATGGAAGATCATTCCATTAGTCTCGATAAACACCTTCGGAGTAAAAAAAACGTGTCATTAAGACAAAAAGTTTTTTACCTAAGAAAGAGGGGTTGTCATAATCTAAAAGATCCGAACCTGGGATAGGTAGCAGGCTCGATTGGCGATCATCTGACGGATTTCCGGCCTCTAAACCGAAAAAGGAGGAAGGGACGCCCCTTCCCTGGTTTGGAAACTTCGGAAGATATCTCCAATCTCTTCTCCGCCTACGAAGCAGAGGAGAATAGCAGATTGATAAAATAGCTGCAATCCGTAACAAGTCTTGCTAATGCTCGCTTTCTAAGTAAAAACTTACCTGAAATCGAAGCGGGTAAAGGATTTTGAGTCCTAACACTCAGTCCTTGAGATAGGGGAGCCTCCAGTCTCGGCTCATCGATTTCCTCTGGAACTACTCTGTCTCCCGGAAGAGGGAGCTCAGAGTCTAAAGGTTCTGAAGAGGGAAAAATATAATGCAGAGGGCTAGGGACTCATGGTGGAGAACTTAATCTCACGGTTTTGAGTCTCTCGTTTGATAGAGTATCAGAATCTGAAGCCTTCCTCTTTGTACAAGGAGAGGAAGTTACTTCTCCCTCTTGCTCTTGTTCGGAAGGGCAAATTGCGGTGGCGACTGGAGGGTCGTTAAGAATCTCGGCTCCATGAGTATCCACCTCGATTGACAGGGCCGCTTCTAATGAACCATCATCAACCAAGAGGGTCTTCCTGTGGAAGTTAACAACACTGGAGATTGCGGCTATCCGTTTCTTTCTCCCGATTTCGGATAACTGATCCTTAAGAGCCTTGGTTTCGGCTTGCATTTTTCTTTTATCTCGAGCATTCAGGCTCGAGACGTCCTTCTCTTCGGGAGGAGGATCGAGGGGGTGAGTTTGACCGTCTTTGATGGCGAGCCCCGCTTTATGAATGCGTTGAAGGGTGAAGGGATTCCAATTTGTTTCACCCTCAGAAACGATTCGAAAGAAAGACAAGAAGTCAACAGTTGGGTGGGGGATCGTCTGGTTCCCTGAAACAAAGTGTTGAGTTAAGAATTCTATTTCTTTTACACAATACAGTGGAAAATAATAAAGGTTGGTTTTTTAACCAAGTTTAGCCGACCAATTGGCGAGAAGAAGACCGGAAAGAGCTTGAACGGAATGGGGATTGACTCGGAAAAGAACCAGTATTTCCTCCAAGGCCCATCATTCGAGGGCATTCCGTCGATCAGGTTACAGTCAAGAATAGGGTTCATAGAAAAAATACCCGCTGCTGCGGATTCACGGGCTCAAAATAGCCCTAAGAGTTTGCTAGTGGTGAGGGAAAACCCTGCTTCTGCCGAAACAGTCAGGGTGCTCAGAACGTATCGAAGAAAGTTGGGAGCCATTTGGGGAAAGGCAATCCCTAGATGAAGGAGGTACAAAAGAAGAACTTCCGGTACGGGAAAAAACAAACCGCAACCTTTGAAATAGACTTCGTACGCACAACAGTAACCCTCTCGTACCATTTCCGGAGACTCGTTGGGTCTAGGAAGAGAGAATTCAATTTCCTGAGGGATGTTACAAAGGCGGAGAAGAGCGCCAAGGGAAGCAGGGGTCGACTGAGACCTGAAATGTGGACCAAATTTGTCTCCCCTTTGGGTGAAGACTTCATCCCCTCTGGGAACAGGGATTCCTTGACTGTCATCTTCGTTGTCTGAAACATAGACGGCTGGGGAAGACATTTTTTACTAAGAGATTTCTCTTTTTATGGTTTGGTAAAAGTTCTTATTTAGCCGTCGTTCCATTTAACCTTATTTAGCGGAAAACCGCCTCGAGAATATTGGGAAGTGGGACAGTTTTCCCCGCGGTATTAATATATAATTGGAAAATTAATGATGACGGTTGTCAGGGAAATCAAATCATTTGATTATCCAAGATCGGCGTAATAGCATAAAACATTTGATAATTACTGAATGTTAAAGATCTCGAGTCATTAATTACTGTTTACTTAAGTCTTCCAAGCCGAGCACTCAGCTCGCAAGACTTGGGGGGCTAAATGTTGGGGTCATATCCCACACATTTTTGGTAGGATCTACTTGGATCTGTCCACGTCATTATTATATAATAATCTTCTTGGAATTAAAGATATTTTATTATGAGAATCAAGCTTAACCAGTCGGGAGTTCGATTCGGTTTATTAAAAGAGTTCGACCTTTACCAGTATGGAGTTCGCTCTTATTCAACATAAAGTTCGCATAGAGAAAGGCCAAAGCGAGGAGAATATTGTTCGAGGCTCGCAGTAGCGTCAAGACGCGAGAGTTCGGAGTCAACAAGAAAGAGTTCGGAAGATCCACGCGAAGCGCAAGATAGTTCAAATTCAAGCCGTTTCGGTCAAAATGTAACTTACATGATTAATGCGGATCATTGCGATTATGAGCAGTAAATGACCGCATTGATCATGTTTTCTCTATAAAAATAACCTCAAACGCATGTGTTTGAGGGGACGAATCTCATTACTCATTACTTCTAAGCAATACAATATATTTTTCTCTCTTTACAACTTTTGCAAGGCATTTTGTACCTCGTTTTTGTCAAACTTCTTTACTTCTTTTCTTGGTTGATTTCCTTTTCGAATTCTAATATTCATTTCCTGATTTTACAAGAGTTTTTCTCCACTGAAATACTTAAAGACAATCGAGTGTGAATCCTACATCCACAATACCTGCATTGATTCAAGTTATGGCACCTGTGGGAGAGAGAAAAAAACTTGGTGTTTCAGCCTTCTCCATCTACAGGGTAAAAACAGCTCCACAAAACTATCAAACAGGAGATTGTGGCGTATATTCTGTCAAATTCATAGAGTGTCTGGCCATTGGTATTAGCTTTGAGGGTTTGTGCGATTCAGTCATGTCTGGTATTCGGTTGAAGCTTGCTATAGAGGTTTTTGATGAGGTCCCAGATTCCGGTTGTTTCATCCAAATGTCAGACCCTCGTGATGTTGATACCGTAGGTGTAGAGTTCATCTCCCAGAATGACCCTTCTTTATCTAGAGTTAACATGTAGTGTGTGCCGTGTGCAACTTTACAAGGGTGCATACTTGGAATCTTACCCATTAGAATATGCACCATTGTAATCATGACACTGTTTTTGTTCTACTTTGGTTCTAGTTTTTTGTCATGAAACCTACTTGCCCTTAACAGGGAGAACAAACTAGTATCTATTTGTTAGAGATCTTTCATTCATAATTGAGAAACAAGGTTATTCAAGCTTATTAAGAGATAACATTACAACATAATTATATAGTAAATTTAACTGATAGAGTTTTGAAACATAACAATAGGACAGAGTAGTGTCAATAAAGCGAAACATATAATAACAAGACTTATAATTCAGTTGCTTGTTTAACAAGAGTTTAACACATATTAAGAAACCTAACTGCGTAATTAAAGGCAAAGCAATGGTCGCAAATATCAAAACTTGTAGGATGGACTAACTTGCAAATCAGACCGAGTTGAATTAAATTAAAATGCCGGTAGAAAACCCCAGCACCGGATGCCCCCATTGATTTGATCTGTAGCTCGACCTGATCTACTGTGAGGAAACCTTCGATTAGGTCAGTCACCTTCTCTAGAAAGGCTTCAACGACGTAGCTATCCTCTTCTACTGCTCCACAGCAAAGGAGCATCATCCCAAAGGCGAAGTGTGCGTTTAGGGTTAGTGTAGAGGATTCAGCTAACATATCAAGGGTGTCTTGGGATGGACCATCCTGAGTCAGCCTCTGCAGAGATTCTACAAAGAGTGCCGTGATTTTACCCTTCTCATAGCACTTCATTAAGAATGGCTTAAACATCGAGGTTTCAGATACTAGTTCACCATTGTAGATAAATTCACTTAGATCAGCCTTTACTAAAACCTCCCGTAAGTAAACTGTCTCCTTCATAGTGGGCCCTGCAGCAATGAAAGGACCTAGCAAACGAAAACCTTGTTCACCAATCTGGCTGAGAATGTTAGCTAGAATCGGCGGTGGAATGAGCTCCATTTTTTTCATTTGGGTTTATGTTTGTTTCAAATGCTTTCAACACATCCTCTTTCTTACAACGTAGATAGATGGATAAAAATAAAATCTTTTTTGTGTTGAATTGCAGTGGGTGAGAATAGACGTGAGCAGCTGAGCCATAACTATATCATAAATGCTACCACCTCTGAAATGGAGTGGATACAGGGTCACTATGCTAAACTTACAAATATTCGAATACGAATCAAACTAACCAAAGAAGAAGATGCAGAGGTTCCGAAAGCGGAAATGATGGAGTTCCGACAGGTTTTCTCGGCGCCCAATCGGAAGACTTTTAAAAATTAGGGTAAATGTTTAGATTTCTATGGGCCGGATTAATTGTTTTTAATAAAAGCCCAATAAGACAATACTATTTTAATTCCAAAACGGTCATATATGTACTCACTCAGCTGGTCGTCGTAAGTCTGCTAAAACTTCAACATTAGGTTAATATCTGTCTTCTATATGCAAGTATATAAAAGTAAAGTTGGTTCATATCGCTCTCACTCTTAAAAATTGCTCCAATATTTTCCTTCTCTTCAATCTTTGTCTCTTTTTCAATTATGGATCGATTGTGTGAGAGGGACCCGTGGTATGATGAGATGAAGAACGCTAAGAAAATAATGGATCAACTAGAAGAAGTCGGAATTATGGAAGGAATTCCGGAGAAATGTCCTTGTGGTGGACGCATGCTCGACAAGATCTCTGAGAACGATGGTGACAAAGGGAAGAGATACTATCAATGCAACATGTATAAGGTAAATTCAAGATATAGATAGCATCATTCTTGTTTTAGAATAATTGATCTCGATATAGAATTCTTGTTTTGTAGAATGATGGATTACACATTCGGAAACTTTGGGATAAAGCTATGGTAGAAGAGGTGACTAACTTAAGGGAGGAGGTTGATACCCATGACAAAAATATTCAAAGCTTGGAGTACTATCAACAAGAAATGCGTTGAGAGTTGAAAGGTAATGGTAAAGAGATCCAAAAACTGAAGGAGTTAGTCGCTCATCTAGCAGAGACTTTGTTGTGATTGAGGAATTAATGGGTTTGTTTAAGCTTTTTTTTTAGAGAGTAAGACTTTTTCCATGAAATGTGTTAAGACCAATTGCATTCCCAATGATGTTGTAGTTCTCTGTTTTTTGTAACAATATTTTTTTCTATATTAAGGATTGCTTAACTGAAAACAACAACACAGAGAAAACAAATGTATTCTTACAAATTGGTCCAACGCTAACATTAGAGATATGTTCAAATCATCAAATGTATTAAGTTTTGCAAGATAGTCCATTGTGGCCAATATTTCCACAGTTAGAACAAACATATGCTTTCCTTGGTACTTTGCGCGGTGATGCAACCTCTCAATGACCTTTAATCTGTGACATCTTCGGCCTCCTAGATTGAACCTTAACAAAAAGTGGATTGACAGACTTCCCGGTTACTGAATCAGGTACAGAACACGCCTCATCCTTTGGCATTACAGATTTTTTAAATAACCATTGCGTAAGTATTCTGAGCGATAGTAAGGATAGGACTTTGAAATCCTTGATACATGAGCCGACTCAGCTGCGGCTATCACATGTATGCAAGGCAGTTTGTCGAGGTCAAACATACGACATGTACACTTATTCTGTTTTAAATTAACAACATTCATAGACACCCTACTCCTCACTTCGTATTGATGGAGATCAATCTCCTGAACACTTAGCTTACTAGCGCGAATCACTCGGCACTGTTAGAGGAAAGATACATTAATTAAAATAGATGGATCAAAAAATAAAGGCTAACAGTTTAAAATAAAGTAAGTTATGTTTATGTAATACCTCTAGTGCTTTTTCAACTCCTTTAGTGAGAATGGTTGTCATAAGCGCAGCCTGTTTTCTCCTTGCAGCATACCATCGAGTTAACATCAATCTTATATCGTCTAACAGTTCAACAATAGGATACCTTCTAGCAGGATTTAACACTTTGTTTAATGATTCAGCAATGTTTCTTGTTGTGAAGTTGTATCTATCTCGTGGAAAGTGAACCCTACACCACGTAGTTACATCTGCCCGCACCAAATAGCTGTGCAGGTCTGGATACAAAGCTTTAATAATATCAAAAGATGCATTGAAATCTACTAACCGATAAGCTCTAGCCGCCTTCTTCACTAATCCAAATATTTCACTTCCTCTAAATCTAAGCTTAATGTTTTTGTGTAGATGGTATGTGGAAATCTCTCTGCTAGCTTGTGGATATACGTTCTCTATAGCTTTTGCAATAGATTTATGCCTATCCGAAATAATCGCTAGTTCATGGTCATCTGGAATAACACAGCTTAGTTGTCTAAAGAACCATTTCCAAGATTCATCGTTCTTTGAATCAACAAAAGCAAACGCTAAGTGAAATATATTGAAATTTCCATCTTGTGTGGTAGCTAGTAACAAGGTCCCTATACATTTCCCCTTCAAAAATGTACCATCCACAACAATACCTTTCCTCATAAAAGTAAAGCCATCAATGCTAGCACCAAATGAAATGAAAACATACTTGAATCTATCTAACTCATCTACTTCAAACCTAGTAAGGGTCCCGGAGTTTGCTCTCCTAATCTTGTATAAGTATTCTGGAAGGTCTTTATACCCAGTTTCCAGACTACCTCTAACTAATTCACGTACATACTTGAGTGTACAAAGAACTTTCCAATATCCAACCTAGTAAGATGAAAGTTTATGTCATATAGTTACCAACGCAATACGGGTGTGAGCACTTATATGGAAACCTAGTAAATAGACTTACTTGGATGCCATAACGCAGTTTCAACGACTCAGATACATGATTAGGGAGTACGCCTGGACCTACACCACCAACGAAATTTTTGTAAAGTACTCCAAGTCTATCCTTGGTTGCTTGTCTACAACGGGCGGATCGCTCTGTTACAGAAGACGTATGCTGATTCACATAGACTTTGATGTTAAAATTCCCAGATGCATCAATCGGTGTAGCTCTTACTCTCCAACGACACTCTTTTACCCAACACTTTACAGCAAAAACTAGAGGCATAGACCGAGCAATGACGAAGTCAAATTTTTGTAAGACACTAATTATCTTCATTCGAATCACCAATTGAAATTTCGATTCATATTTTTGCCCAACAGCGATATCAACACCTCCACTAAGTAATTGCACATACTCTTTTGCCGTAATCGACATCCACTTGTCAATTGGAAGGATTTTATTCTCTTCTTTTTTTGGCACATCAACCATTTCTTCATCTTCTTCATCTTTAACCTCTGCTTCCTCTGCATTCTCTTCTTGTTCAACTTCTAAGTTTTCTTCATCATCTTCATCTTCATCATCTGTTTCCTCATCAGAAAACTTATAAGACTTACCGTAATCTTCATCCCCAGAGCTTGCTCCATCACTATCATCGCAACAATCAAACCTGTAACTCTCGTCCTCATCCTCGCTTTTCTGTTCCTCTCCATCTCCATAAGCTTCACCGTCCCTAGAACAAGTATAAATTGGTTGTTTCCCTGCTGCTTTACTCTTGTAATATTGCTCTTCTTTGGACTCTGTTTTCTCAGGTGATACATCCGGGCCAAAAATATAATTTTTAGTTTCATATTCTTCGATTTGGACACAGAGACGCCCCACAGTTTCGGATTTGCATTGCCGGATAAATCCTTCTCACGGAGGAGTATCATCTGGAATCACGAAGAAGTTCATCGTATGCAATTTATAACTAAGCTTAACCTCATAAACCTTTCTATCAAACCCGAAATTCTCGTACACCATTGCCAAAAAATCATCAAACGAACTTCCTGCTTTCGCAGACAGTACCCTGCAACATCTTCTTTCATCTACAATAAATGATCGACGGTTTTTTGCAAATTTCGACTTCCCACATACCAGTAGAATTTCTATCATCTTTCACCAGATGAAACAACAATAGATTTCAGAATAAACAACACTTTTTTGCTAAAATGTTTGCTTCGGGGGAACAAGACAGGTTTCCGGCGTAATAAATCGTTAATGTAAGGGTAAACAAGACTTTCGCTTTTATTAATGTTCGCCCTCTTTAATACTGATCGCTAACAATTCCTTACACCTCTATCACCACATACGTCCAAAAAAACATCCAAACGTGCTAGTTGAGTAAACCGTTACTCTCCCCCGTTATGACAGAATTAAGAAATAACTTTGTCAAAATAATTAACTCTACCATGTTGTAACAGACTTATTATGATTTCTCTGTTACATAACTCTAAATCGCTCTTTTAGTATACCACCATTACATAAAACTCTCCCTCACAAATATATTATTTTACAATGTCACATAACTCTACCACCACATAAAATTAAATCTATCACGGTGTTATATGAGTAAACGTAAAGTCACCATAATCTGTCAGAGGACTCTATTTAACAAATAACTCTGCTCCCACCAAACATATCTCTATTTGTAAACTCTATCAATTATTAACTTTAGTAAACTATCGTTATTTTATTTCTCTCGATTAAATCTAATAATTTATTTAATTCTGCAGTCACTACAGCGACAGACTTTTGTTGGCGCGAGACATTTTTGCGTGTAAAATACATTTTCTCTCACTGACGTGGCAGCATTTTTAAATGGCAGATCGTAATTATGTTTCGCACACAACATCAAACAAAGGATTCTGCCTTTAACGAGCAACAAATCGTAGAACACATATCAGTAATAAACGCACTTTTTGTGCTGTTTGAATAACTCACCCTTAATTAATTTATTAAATCTGCGGAAACTATTTCATTTTATTCAACAGCCAAACATTTGCATATTTGCAGGGACGAAGAAAAGTGGAATCGTGTCTACCAAGAATCAAGAAACAAGAGCAGAGGGAGGCGATGGAGGCGATTTGAGGGTGTTAAGTCCCAACGATGAGTGGTTTTGATCGGAGGTTCTCGAAGCGGTTATTCTTGATATCTCAATGGTTCTTCAGTGGTCGGATCTATGTTTATCAGTTGAATCTTATGGCTATTGGGTCGTTTCTCATGTTTTTTGGGTCGATCTCGGAGCTGCTTGGTATTCTTTGTTCAGGATCTATGAGGAGAGGTTTTGATCGGCGGTTCTCGAAATGGTTAAGCTTGGTTTCTCAATGGTGTTTCAGTGGTCGGATCTATGTTTATGGGTTGAATCTTATGATTGTTGGGTCGATTCTCATGGCTTTTGGGTCAATCTCGGAGCTGCTCGTTGTTTTTTATTCAGGATCTATGAGGAGAGTCAGTTTCAATTGCTTAGTGTTATGGGAAGAAGCAAAAGTTTCGGTTAATTTTTGTTTCGGACTCAAGCTTTATAGGATGGGTTCTGTCTTGGAGAGGAACATGGAGAGTTACAGGTGTGGTTTGGTACTTTGTCGTGGTGATTTGCAACTTCCTTTCTCAATGGAAGCTGCAAGAATCTCAATTTCGGAGACAGAGAGAGAAGTTCCGTGGAACCCAACAATGAGTAGGCAAGATCTGGTTGTTTTTTGTTTGGATTTCGGGTTACTACGGTTGTTATTGGTATCGGTGTATGGATTGGAGTCTCAATTCAAGGTAGGGTTGAGCATATCTCATTTCGTTTTGGTTGCTTTCATGGGCGATTTACAGTGTTTGTTCATAACAAAAGAAGAGGGGTTCTCAATTTTGGAGTTTAGGAGGATAGATCTCAGTTTCTATCTCTCTATTGGTTCACAGAGCTGGAGTTTTGAGGTATTAATTTCGATTTGGGAGAAGGATTTCACATCTCTTGCAAGCTGTACGGGTATTTTTTTAGTCCCTAAGACGAGATTTGGAAAGTGTCTATTCGGTAATTGGTTTTGGAGAAGGCGAATCGTGGTTGATACTCTTTTTGATCGGCAGAATGATTTATCTTTCTCCTTTTTTCAAAATATGGAAACAAAAGATCAGATTTTTTCCTTCTCATATAACGAGTGGGCAATAAGCTTAGAGAATAATTCATCGTTGATGAGGGAATATTTAACTAATGATTTTGGTATTTGGGAATCATCTTGGGTATGGTTTTCATGGGCATATAATTTGGTACTTTATGTGGTGGTTAAGCAAAAACAAGTTTGTAACGCTCTGTGTAAAGAGGCTTGCACTGATTTGGTGTCAGAGGCTGAAACGGAACCTATGTTTGCATTAGCAGGGCAAGAAAAAGTCTCCGACACAATGTGGGCTTCGACGTTGGAGATAATGATGTTTTTGTTCACATATTATAGGATATACTTTAATTTGGAATCTTGGTTTTTAATGTGGAAACAAAAGTATAATAATAATAACAAACGGTTTTACTACGGTTTGATTTTTTGTTTTTCATGGTTGTTTGTGGATATTATAAGGAGAAGAATATCTAGAGTCAATTGTGATTGGAGTTTTATAAGAAATAATCAAAAGAATGAAGATCATAACCCGAACTATGGTACGGTAAAGGACTTCACGGGTGGACGCAACCCACCAATACACAAGGTTGATAAATGAAGGTTTTGAGTTGGAATTGTCAAGGACTTGGGAATAAGGCAATTATCGGTTATCTTAGGGATATATGGAAACAACACCGGCCAGACTTTTTATTTCTTTCGGAAACAAAACAACCTTCTTGGTTCATGGAAAAATTTATCGGTCATTTTGGTTACAAAAATTTAAAAACGGTTGATCCTATTGGTTGTAGTGGCGGTTTAGCCCTTTATTATAATAATGATTTTAATGCTTCAATTATTTATGAAAGTAATCGGTTAATTGATGTTGAAGCGGTGATAAAAGGAAAAACAATACATCTTACTTTCGTTTATGGTGATCCGGTTCCGAAAAACAGAGATCAAGTTTGGGAACGGTTAACACGGATTGGTTTGATTAGAGACACACCCTGGTTCTTAATAGGAGATTTTAATGAATTAACCGGAAATCACGAGAAAAGAGGTGGTAATTTAAGACATGCATCTTCTTTTATCCCTTTTAATTTAATGATTCAAAATTGTGGTCTTTTGGAGTTCCCATATATCGGAGATTGGTTATCATGGCGGGGTTGGCGGGATAAGAAACCAATACGGTGTCGGTTGGATAGAGCTTTAGCAAACGAAGATTGGCATGAATTATTTTGCAATTCTTTTGTTGAATATTTACCAATGGTAGCTTCCGACCATTCACCGGTGGTAGCTACCCTCATGGATAAGGTCCCACGTGGGAAAAGAAATTTCAGGTTTGATAAAAGATGGATTGGGAAGGAAGGATTACTCGAGGCAATTTCAAATGGTTGGAATTCTGACTCTGATTTAGGAGAAGGAAAATTTGTGGAAAAATTGACTAATTGTAGGCGGGCTATTTCGCAGTGGATGAAAGATTTAACTCCTTTTGGGCGGCAAACAATTGAGGAACTAAAATCGGAATTACTTATGGCACAAAGAGATGATAGGAGACCACGTGAGGAGATTACAGAATTAACTTTGCGGTTGAAAGAGGCTTATCGAGATGAGGAACTGTATTGGCATCAGAAAAGCAGAAGCTTTTGGATGAAACTAGGGGATAATAATTCAAAGTATTTTCATGCTTTAACAAAACAAAGACGGGCAAGGAACCAAATAACGGGGTTACATGATGAAAACGGAATTTGGTCTGCAGAGGATAAAGATATTCAAAATATAGCGGTAACTTATTTTAAGGAATTGTTTACTACAACTAAGCCTAAGGCTTTTGAAGAATCCTTGGCAGAAGTTCAAACTCTGATTACGGATCAGCTTAACAATTTTCTAACGGCACCCGTAACGGAATGTGAGGTGAAAACAGCTCTGTTTTATGATGCATCCGGAAAAAGCGCCAGGACCTGATGGAATGACAGCTTTATTATTCCAAAAGGCTTGGGTTACTATTAAAATAGACCTTTTATTTCTGGTCAATTCCTTTTTAGAGGATGAAATTTTTGATAAACGGTTAAATACGACTAATATTTGTCTGATTCCAAAAACGGAAAGACCGACACGGATGACGGAATTACGGCCTATCAGTCTTTGCAATGTTGGGTATAAAATTATATCGAAGATTCTTTGCCAAAGACTTAAGACGGTGCTACCAAAACTGATTTCGGAAACACAATCGGCTTTTGTAGAAGGACGATTGATTTCAGATAATATTCTCATTGCACAAGAGATGTTCCATGGGTTGAGAACTAACCCATCATGTAAAGGAAAATTCATGGCCATTAAAACGGATATGAGTAAAGCTTATGATAGGGTGGAATGGATTTTCATAGAGAAGGTTTTAAGAAAATTGGGTTTCAGTGAAAAATGGACTAAATGGATAATGTGGTGTATTACAACGGTCCAATATAGAGTTCCCCTTAATGGACAACCTAAAGGACTAATAATACCAGAGAGGGGTTTACGACAAGGAGACCCGCTCTCTCCTTATTTATTCATCCTATGCACAAAAGTGCTAATTACGAACATTCGGAAAGCTGAACGGAAAAAATTAATTACAGGTATCAAAGTAGCTAATGCAAGTCCTTCGGTTTCACATCTGTTATTTGCGGATGATAGCTTGTTTTTTTGCAAGGCTAATAAAGACCAGTGTGGGGTAATTTTAGGGATTTTAAAGAAGTATGAAGCGGTCTCGGGACAGCAGATTAATTTTTTAAAATCCTCGATTCAGTTTGGACATAAGGTAGATGATGAAATTAAGGAAGAAATCAAATCTACCTTAGGTATCACTAATATCGGTGGAATGGGTTTTTATCTTGGATTGGCTGAGAGTTTGGGGGGCTCGAAGACAAAAATCTTCTCTTTTGTCAGAGATAGACTACAAACAAGGATTAACGGATGGTCGGCAAAATTTTTATCAAAAGAGGGAAAAGAAGTGATGATAAAATCGGTAGCTGCAGCATTACCAACCTATGTTATGTCTTGCTTCAGATTGCCAAAAACAATCACTTCTAAACTTACTAGTGCGGTTGCTAATTTTTGGTGGAGCTCAAATGGTGATTCTAGAGGTATGCATTGGATTGCTTGGAATAAATTGTGCAATAGCAAATCGGAAGGGGGATTAGGATTTCGGAACGTTGACGATTTTAATTCAGCTTTACTAGCAAAACAATTATGGCGGTTGATCACGGTTCCGAAGTCTCTTTTCGCAAAGGTGTTTAAAGGACGGTATTTTAGGAAATCCAATCCTTTGGAAAATATAAAATCATATTCTCCATCATATGGATGGCGAAGTATATGTTCAGCTAGATCTCTGGTTAATAAAGGACTTATTAAAAGAGTCGGATCTGGGACATCCATCTCGGTTTGGGAGGATCCCTGGATTCCAGCTCAATTCCCGAGACTAGCAAAAAGTAATGGTTCAGTTGCTGACCCATCTTTAAAAGTTAACGATCTTATAGATAGTCGGTCGAATTTTTGGAATATTGATCTCTTAAAAGCGATCTTTGATCCAGAAGATGTCGCGCTAGTAAGCGCCATACATGTGGGTGTGCAAACAAAGGAAGATTCTTTGGGTTGGCATTTTACAAAATCTGGAAAATATACAGTCAAATCGGGATATCATACCATACAGATAGAAAAGTCGGAGACCAATTTACCTGTTTTTGGCCCTGACATCAACCTACTAAAAGCACATTCTTGGAAAGTACAGTGTCCACCTAAGATACGCCATTTCTTGTGGCAAATCTTAACGGGTTGTGTACCGGTTACGGAAAATTTGCGAAAAAGAGGAATTGATTGTGACACGGGATGTGCCAGATGTGGCGCAGTAGAGGAAACAGTCAATCATACACTTTTTCAGTGCCACCCTGCACGGCAGATTTGGGCGCTTTCACAGATTCCTACGGCTGTAGGGATTTTTCCTACAAAATCTAATTTTGCGAATTTGGATCATTTGTTTTGGAGAATACCTTCAGAATTTGATTCATCAGCCTTCCCATAGATTATTTGGTATATTTGGAAAGCAAGGAATGAAAATATATTTGAAAATATAGATAAAGACCCAATAGAGGTATTACGATTAGCGGAAAAAGAGGCACAATTGTGGCAATCAGCTCAAATTGAGCTCCTTAATGAAAATCATGGTTCTATGGACTTGGTGACTCGAACTCGAGTGAGAGATGCTTTACTTGAGTCGAATTATTCAGGATACCGTTGTTTTGTGGATGGATCATGGAAAGAAAGTGATAAGTTTTCTGGTACAGGATGGTTCTGTACATCGTCAAATGGAGAACCGCCAACCATGGGAGCTGCGAACCTCCGTAGAAGTTTATCTCCACTACATGCCGAAGTCGAAGCCCTTCTCTGGGCAATGAAGTGTATGATTGGTGCAGATCATCAAGAGGTAGCGTTCTTTACAGACTGTTCAGACCTAGTGAAGATGGTGTCTTCTCCAACCGAATGGCCGGCGTTTTCAGTGTATCTGGACGAATTTCAGACCGACAAGGAGGAGTTTTCATCTTTTTCTTTATCTTTAATTTCTCGTAGGGGTAATGTTAAAGCGGATAATCTGGCACGAAAAGTTCGTACAGAACCGCTTCATATCACATATATAAACAACATTCCTCAGGAATGGCTTTTTTGAGCTTTAATTAATTTCGGATGAAAAAAAAAAAGAAGAAAAGTGGAATTTTACTTTAATTATATTAAATAGTGTGAACTATAAGACAAAAAACTTCAGTTCAATAATGCACAATTACATAAACTACTTAATGATAGGAGTTGGTCTTATTAATTAATATTAACATATTAATTTTGTTTTATTAAAAATATTGTAGTTGTATTTAATATATGACTTTGGGACCGTTAATTATTGACTAAAGTGAGTGGAATCCAATCAAAATATCCATTACAATAATGCATATGATTTGCCTTTAAAGTGATTAAATCTGGAAGAAAATAATTAGACAAACGAATTGAGTAAAGAATAAAAGTAAAGCATATACCACTAAACATATAAAGAACAACATGGCGACTTGGCAAGCAAAAAAGACATACCAGTAACTGTCCAAACAGTTTAAAATAAACAAATATGACAAAGAAGAAAATATAAATATATGGTATATAAAGAAAGTAAAGAAGATGTTCTTGCAAATTGTACTTAGAATTATAATTTGTTATAAAGAAAATATAATAATTTATAGAGTGTGATGGATTAGATGCCGACAGTAAGACATCTTATCACTTAATTAAGAGCCTACGTATCCATTTTTTTTTTTTTTACTTTAGCATTATTTCTATCAATCGTTTAGATAAAAATGTGACGATTAAGCTTTATAGTGCTACCTACTACAGTTCAGATTAAAGGTATCGAAGTAATAAACTATATACTCAGAAGCTAGCTTCGATTGTTTCGGTTTCTAGTGAATTGGAAAATATGTTTTTAATTCAGTGAGTTAGCTAAGCTAAGCTAAATTTAGTTAATGCAGTTTAATTTTCTAAGATTACATGAGTTAATATGAGAATGGTTATGGTTGTATAGCTTAGAAAAATAAATATGGTTAATTAAACATGCATTTACAGTATAAAAAATATACTATATGAGCATTTTATTTAGTTAAGAAGAACTTCTTCCTTACTACATAAATTCAAAAGGAATGGGTGGAATAAATTAATCCTCGTTCTTCTATTTTCACTTTATTCATTTTTATTCCACTAGTTCACCTGATAACACTTATTATTCAGATTTTGTACAGTTTTTATGGATTAGTGAACTAATTTATATTTAACTAAAAGCAT